GCCTCTCCCAGCCCATGCTCACTCCAGACACACTGGCCTCATCACTGTTCTCTCTCGAGGCTGCTCCTTCTCCCTGAAATACTCATACTTCAAAACTTGGCACGGCTCTCTCCTTCACATATTTCAGGCTTCTGCTTAACCATCAGCACCTCAGAGACCACCCTGTCTAAAAATACTCCCACTCGTAATCATTCCTTATTGTCTTCTTAGCCTGATTTATTTTCTTTCTGTTGCACTTCACACTACTTGATATTCCTTTTCATTTACTGCTTTATTTTGACATGCTCCCCACTACAACATGAAGGCAGAACTGGGTCCTGTTGACCTCATGATCTCTGAGGTCTGGCACATATGGGCATTCAGAAATTTGGAATAAACGATCACCAGTGTGGCTGACAGTCATCGATCCGGCCTTCCCAATCACCTTCCTGACTCCCCAGTGTTCCTGGTGAACTGTCAGTCAGAGGACCCAGTCCTCTTACATAAGGGAGCAGGGCAAGTACATAACCTAATCTTGGCCAATCACAACCTTCCCTGTGACTTTATACAGAGAAGTCTGAATTCAGCAGGAAGAGGATCAACAGGTTGAAGCACAGCCAAGAGATGAAGTCTTGGCAATACTGCATGAAGCCCTGATGTTGGCCCTACTCTGGGGCTCTCTAGCCAAATGAACCAATAAGCTCCTTGTTGGACATAATTAAGTTTCAGATGGATTTCTGCCCCTTGGAATATGATGATTCAAGGATGTTTCTGCCCACAGAATGCCTGACCCACTGAGATGCTCAGTAAATGGGTAGGACTCTACAAGGGAGAGGTCAGCACTACCAGGTATAGTGGGCAGCCAATATTCAGCCAGTCCAATAGCCCTTACCCCCGCTGGCAATGGCATCTTGGTTTTCCTTTGGGAAACTAACCTCCCTGGCTGGCAGTGGTTCAGGTGGGCAAGTGATCCAACCGTGATCACTGCCGGGCTTCTGAGGAATCTGTGGCAATAAGCACTAGCCTTAGGGTTACTTTTTTCCCCCTTTCAGGACTTCTTTTGAAGTAATTGGGCAAGAGGTATACATTCTGTCTACCAGGCTGGCTGAGCTAGTAGGATGTGGACCTGAACTGCTGGTCCACTACTGCTGCACCCTACCAAGAGTAGTCAGAGAATAAAGACTGCACACTGGCCTGTACAATGGAGAGGGAAAGGAAGACAGAATTCCTACAGTGTTGTTGCAGCCCCAGATCCAGGTATGCCAAAAGCTCTATCTATCCTGGGGCTTTTCATTTGTGTGAGTTCAATGAATTGTTTTGTTGGCCAACCCATCTGAGTTGCACTTTCTGACACTTGCACTGAAGGTGGCCTGACCGCTCTAAGAACCCGGGGCCTGAGTCCCCACCCAGGCTTGGCCCTACCCTCAGGAGTGGACAGCACTCACATCAGGTTTGAAGGGTGGCTCCAGCATGCCAGCTCCCAGCCGCTTAAAGTTCAGCTTTTTGAAGAGGGGGTGTTCCTTTACTTCGCGGGCACCACCTCCACGACACCCTAGGCGCCCAGCAGGGTCCTTGCACAGGAGCTGTGGCAGGGTAGGGGCAGTCAGAGGGACCTGGGAGAGGTGCCTGGTGCCCCCAGCCCCAGCCCGTCAGCCTTCTGCTGGCTTGCCATACCTGGGAGCAGAGCGAGCGGGCCTGAGGGGAAAAGCGCTCTGAGTATTCTTCAGGCACCTCCTTCACCAACCGTTCCACCTCCTCTCGCTTGATTTTCTTTTTCCTCTGCTGGAAGGGTGACTGGCCGGCAATCATCTCGTATAGGAGGCAGCCTAGTGCCCACCAGTCTGGGCTGAATGTGTACCGTTCGTTCTTTACCACCTCCGGAGCTGGGTAGGGTGGAACAGAAGTTAGGGCTGGGCAGGAGGCAGGAACCAAGCCCTGGGGCCCTGGGAATGCCCAGCACAGTGGGGCATCAGCTCAAATATCTGCCCGCCAGGCAGGCACTACCAGCAGCCTGTAGGACAGCAAGTAGGACAGCACATGCCCCATCAAAGAGAGCACTGTGGCCCCGTAGGAGGCCAGGTCTTCTGATTTTTCAAGAGAAGTCAGAAATCCATATTTTTAATGGGAAGCTGTCTGGCATATCAAATGTTGGCAACCAATTCAAATTGTTTTATTCTTTACCATGTTTATTTATTTTGAAAGAAGGAGACAGAGCATGAGCACGGGAGGGGCAGAGAGAGAGGGAGAGAATCCCAAGCAGGCTCCACACTGGCAGCACAGAGCCTGATATGGGGCTTGAACCCACGAACTGTGAGATCATGACCAAGAGTCAGATGCTTAACTGACTGAGCCACCCAGGCAGCCCTCAAATTGTTTTAAAAACAATTTGATTTAAGTACAAATGTAGGCCATATTAGGTCTGTGTGGTTACCAGTTTGCAAGCTCTGGATTTAATACCAGAGAGAAGAAACAAGAAAGAAACTCCTCTACTGCATACCTACTGCCTGCCAGGGTGGGCACATGGGATTTTTGCCTCTCCTACCACTTTTTATCTAAAGGCAACTCTGGGAGCCAGTATGATTGCTTTATGGTTGGGCAAAGTGAGCATAGGAGCAGCAGTATGTGGTCCAAGGACACACAACAAGAGGTGGGGCCTGTAATTGGGGCTCTATCTCCTGTGTCACATAATCTCCAAAGGGAATACTAGGGCCACATCTTGGCCCATACCACAGATGGGCATTCCCTCCCTGAATCTGGGTAGATCAGGGGAGGGGAGGACTTCTCAACCTTCTCATCTTTCTCTGGTAGCCACCTGCAGGCCTAGCCAATAGTAGGAGCTCAGTAAGTATTTGGTGAATGAATGAATGATGCAGATTTGCAGGTGTGTGGGTTCCTGGCTGAGTCCTGGTCTCTTAATTTCTAAGATAGGGATATCAGTTCTATTCCCTGAGACACAGAAGACTTCCACAGAAGTGGTGGGACCCAGCCCAGGACAGCAAGAGGACCCAGGAGGCAGGGGGGCCAGGGTGGAGGAAGACTCACCCATGTAGCCCACAGTGCCCACACGACCCTTGATGGTCTGGCCTTCTGGCACGTGCACAGCTAGCCCCAGGTCAGAGATGCGGATGTGACCTGAATGTGGGTGGACAAGTTGGGGGGGCCCATTGAACAGGTGGGCCAGACCCTGCCCCACTCCACTGCACTCCACCTCTGTACACCCCATACCCACCATGGTCATCCAACAGGATGTTCTCTGGCTTCAGGTCCCTGTGGGGAGAGAAGGGCAGGGTCAGATGTTGTTCAGTTTGCCAAGGAGCCAAACGGCACGCCACCCCCTCCTAGCTCACTTGTCTCCTGGGATGGAATGTGCAACAAGGTGCAGGAGCCATTTATTGCCAGGGTGAGAGATAGCCCTGCCCTCACTCACAGCAGCTCTGACTTGAGGGGGCAGCTGAAGGATCTACCCAGCCAGGATTCCTTCCTGGGAATCCCCAGGCAAGTGGAGAGCAGCTCCCATCCAGGGGAATAGCACCAGTGTTATAGTGTTAACAGCGTCCCACCCTCACCCCACTTTGGTGGCTGACTCTACCTTTCCTGTCAAATGGGGCTACTCATCTGTCCCCCTCATGGGGCTGTTGTGAGGTTCAAATGAAATCACTGCCGGTAACAATAGGCAGAGCTCCCCACTGCCAAGCCCTGCATGCCAGGCTCTGTGCACTTTACTGCAGGGAGCTGACTGGCCCAGGGTTATACAGAGACGGGTGATGACACCAGCATTCACATGAGTGAGCCAGACCCAGAGGCTCTCAAGTCTGCCCGGCATGGGCAAGCGTGGAGCCCCAAGCCCAGGCTCAGTAGGGCTCAAACCAGCTCATGCCCGCAACAACAGGCCCAGCATACCAACATCCTTCTGCGGCCTCCACCCATGCCCAGCTGCAGCCCCTGGCAGGGAGGGCCGAAGCCCAGGACCTGTACACGATGCGCTCCCGGTGCAGGTCCTCCAGGCCGCAGCAGATCTCCGCGGCATAGAAGACAGCCCGCTCCTCGGGGAAGCCAGCCTGGCCCATGTGGTAGATGTGGAACTTGAGGTCGCCTCCGTTCATCAGTGTCAGCACCAGGCACAGCGCGTCCTTGGTCTCATAGGCATAGGCCAAGCTCACCTGTGGCCGAGGGGACCCGAGCCCTCAAGCAGGGGCCACGGGCCACCCAGTGGCAGGGCTGGCACCAGCCGCCCAAAAAATCCTTCTCAGTGGCACTCCTTGGGGCCCAGCCTGCTCCCCAGGCCTGGTGTCAACACCCCAAACCGACCCTTCCCAGGCATCTCTGAGGGTGGGGACAGGGCAGCACAGAAAGGGACCTAGCCTGGTAAGTGAGAAGGGCAGGGCAAGTGCATGGCCAGGGTGAAGGGAGGGGTCGCCTGTCTGTACTTACTACAAACCTACTGTTCACTTTCTCCAGGATCTGCTTTTCATTGAGTGCCATGGCCTCCCCTTTCCGCTTCTTGATACGCTTCTTTTCCAGCTTCTTGCAAGCGTACATCTTGCCTGTTGCCCGCACCTGGCAGGCACACACCTGTAGCCAAGGTAGATGGGCAAATAGGGACCAGCTGTGTTCTTCCTGGAGCTATAGGAGCTCAAGGAGGGGGGGCTGGTCCAGGGCCTACCATACCCCTCCTCCCCACTCCATCAGGGGCTCTGGCCTGGCCACTTACCTCACCAAAGCCTCCTTTGCCCAGGACTCGATACTGCCTGAAGGTGTTTTTGGTCACTGGCTGCCTGTAGGCAAGGGATTTCGGAGCAAACACTGGCTGAGCAGGGGCCCAAGGCCCGTAAGAGCCCTAGCAACTTGGCCTACCGTGGGCCAGCCTTCAGGGAGCTCACCTTTCCAGCCACTTCCACTGTAGGAAACGGTTGAAGTAGATGCTGTCGAGGTAGTCGGCAAAAGGGGCCATGCTCAGGTACTCATGGGTCAGCCTGTTGAGAGGGCCCAGCCCACCAGTCAGCCCCCGACACCCCAGGTTCTTGGCTGGATGGGACAGGACCCCCTGTTATATGCATTCTCGGCCTAAAGGGCAGCCTCATTGGCCAACCCTCTTACTAACCCAACTAAGCAGGAGATATTCATCTGTGTCAAAGCTGAAGATTCTATAGAGAGGGAAGGCAACCTGCCCAAGCTCACACAGCAAGCGCAGGGCCAGGGTGAGAGGCTGAGCTCCCTCACCAGCTACTGAGCTGTTCACAGCCTTCCAGGGCCCACAGAAGCCCCCTCCTCAGGACACAATTCCAGGCCAATGGGCAGGGAGAGGCTTACCGGGTGAGCTCCTGGAAGAGGTCTTTGCAGGGCCCCTGCTCCAACCGCTGGGAGCAATTAGTCACCAGCTGCCGAGGGACCTCAGGGATGAGGTCAGGACCCTGGAGATAGGCAATAAACAGGTCAGTGCAGGGGGCTCCCTTCGCCAGCTGCCTACACCCAGGGCAGAGATGGCCAACATTCTGGACCTGCGCTAGGAGCAGCTGTAGGCTAGTGGTGTGCCAGCCGGTCCAGCTGCTGAACTCAGTTCCACTGCTACCCTTGAGGCAGGGTGAAGCAGAGCCACTGGCAGGCTGCCTGGCCCACCCTCCTGGGCTCCATGCCCGTGGTCTGCCTGGTGAACCGGGAGACGCTCCAGGGCACTCTCTGCCCAGGCTGTGGTCATTCCTCTCCTCATCACTGAGCTCTGCCCGCTGCCGTCATCTCTCCATCCTTGCTCACTCACCGTGTGGCTCAGAAAATTCTGCATTAGCCGCTGCCCACAAGCCTTCCGCTTCTCATCAGGGGTCACTTCATACTCAGCCTGCAGGGTGGGAGGCAGAGAAGCTTGGGGCCTGGGCAGAACAACAGGTGTGGGGAAATGGGACACACTCGACCTAGGGACCTCTGCCCACCCTTGGGGCTGGGCTGGGCTGCACTCACCACTCCATCCAAGAAGGCTATGCAGCGGGTCAGCTCAGGCCTCGTGGCGCAGAACTCTCGAAACAGCAGGCGCCCAATGGGCTGCCGCTCGCACAGGCTGTGGTAGTCACGCTCTGCAAGCAGGGGTAGGAGCTACTGGGTTCCCAGACCTGGAGCCTGCTGGCAGGGCACTCCTATCCATACTGCCAAGCCCTGGCCCCAACAGTAGCTTCTAGCCCTGCAGTATGGAAGCCACTACCTCCTTTAGAACTGTCACCCCAACACTGAGGTGGGCACTACTATTATTTCCAACACAGTTTGGGACTCTGAGGCCCAGAGAAACTAAGCAATTAACTCAAGGTCACACAGCTTGATGTATGGCTCCAAAGCTGGGCCCTCACCTCCCACTGCTATCTCCTGGTTCACACCACCTACATACATCACAGTGCTGGGCTTGGGTGTGGTTGTGAGGTTCCGGCCTGGCCCAGGCTAGGCCCAAACCTGTTGCTTGCCTGGCGAAAGTGCAAGAGGAAGCTGTGGCTTCCGGCAAGCTCGAGGCTAAGCCTCCTTCCCAGGCGGTGGAAGCAGCTATGGTATACTCCTTGCCCACGTGCAGGCTGTCAGAGGGGCCTAGGCAACCTTGGGGGTTGTGCAGACCTGGGGCCTCAGCCAAGATAAGCAGGAACTGGCGTCCTGACCCCTCTTCTGGTCAAGGTTTTGATGCCCCCCCACCTGCCACTCACCCTGCTTGGGGCAGGGTTATGCTAAGCACGGGCTTGGGGCTCCTCATGCAATCAATCTGTGGGCTGACTCCAGCCTCCACTGTACCCTCTGTCCCTCAAACCCCAGGCATGACTCTCCTTTCCTCTGCTTCTCTCAGACTGCCCCAAATCTGACCCTGCCCTACTCCCCCACCCTCCCACCTACCCCAAACACCCCTTGCTGTCCTGTTTGTACTATGTTCTCCACCCGTCTCAGGCCCAGGAACCGAAACTGGGTTGGGTGTTGCAGCCTCAGTCTTCCTGCTCCCCAGACCCCCCCCCCCCCCCCCCCCTGCCAACCCTGCCCCTCTGCCTCAGGGTGAGGTCTCAGGGGAGGCTCCCCCAGAACACCCAGGCCTCCACCCAGGCCTCACCGAGGCTGAGCCGCAGCTCTTCACACTGGCTGATGTGGGGGAACTGCAGCATCTGTCGCCATTTCTTGCTTTTGCCCTTGCGATTCCCACCACCACCTGTGGGAACAAACAGGTGCTGGATCTCAAGTCCCGCTGCCACCATGCTTCCCCTGGCCGCTCAGTGCAGCCCAGAGACCTGGCCTTCTGGGCTCAGCCCAGGCACAGCACACTCTAGGAGGCACCTCAGGCCTTCATTCCACACATTTCAGCATGCCCTCACTGGGCTCTAGGACACACACCGTCCCCTGGGCCCCTCTGCTAGGGGTTCCTGAGCTCCTGGGCTGGAAGATCCAACAGGGGTGATAAGGACAGGTCACCGGGTGATGGTGGGTTTCCAGGAAACCTTAGCTGCTCTCTGGCAGGTAGGAGTTTCCCGGGTGAAGAAAGCAGAGGACATGACAGCAGTGGGAACTATGTAAGTCAAGGCACAGAAGGGAGAGATTCTAGGACATGTGGGACATGCCTCAGAGATGCCAGGGGCAGAGGGCAGCCTGGGTCACCAGGAAGGCTTCAGGCCCCTATACCTGGCCCTGAATCAGAGCTATCAGAGACTCAAACAAGGTGGTGGCTGCAGGGCTGGCACTCAGGATGCCCACTCCAGTACACAAGGGGTTCTGTGGCCCTGATACCTGCCTCATTTCACCTAGCTGACACCCTATCTGTAGCTGCTAAGACCAGGGTAGCAGCTCAAACGCCTACAGAGCCAGATAGGTAGGTAAAATGTAGGCCAGATGGGAGACAACAGGGAATGGTGGGGAGTGTGGTGAACTGGACTGGGCATGCCCCTTCCTCCAGGCAGGAATACGGACTCGGCGTGGCCAGCTCTTCTCACCTTTTAGCTGAGACTCCGGACATTATGTGAAATACTGGTTCCTATTTTTTGTAAAAACAAATTGCAGCTAAATAAATTAAACATGTTAGAGAGCTAGCCAGATGTGGCCCATGGGCCACGAGGTTGAAAATAGAAGGGCCTGAGTCTTGGAGCCCCACAGACATAGGTTTGAATCTCCAATTCGCACTTTAGGCCTGTCACTTGCCCTCTATGAGCCTCAACTTCTCCATACTTACTTCAGATCCAAAGCTACCTCCAGAGGTGTTGTCAGACTGGGAGAGTCTGTGTCCAGTACCCAGTAGGGCTGTGGCAAGAGGTGGCCCTCAGCTCCAACAACTCATGGCAACCTCAGGCAGCCACTTTTTCCCTGCCTGGCCTCAGTTTCCCCTCTGCTTTACCCAGCCTTGTTTTCATCTGCCCTGGCTGAAGGCAGGTGGCACAAGGGAAGGGGCTGCTCAAGGGAAGGGGCAGAGTTGGGTCCCTCAATGGGTTCTGTGACCTAAGCAGTCGGGAGGAGGAAATGTTGCAGGGCACCCATTGGGAAACCTGCTAGCAGCTCTCCTGCGGCCTGCACCCAGCATACTCCACAGCCATTGCTCCATTCTGAATGAGCAACAGACCCCCACCCCCAACCCGGGGCAAGGCCTCGCCAGAAGGGGAACTCCTCCCCCACCCCCACAGGTCCTTCACCCAACCCTCTATCCGCTGGCCTCCCCCCACCAGTTACTTCCTCCTCCCCCTCCTCCCAGCCACATCAAGGCAGTAGCAAGAGTCACATGCAAATATCCTGTCCTGGAACTGCCACCAGAGTCAGTGGGGCTCCTCCCCAACCTAGCCTGGCCCCCTCCCTATGCCTCTGGGGGCCTGGGAAAGGATGGAGGACTAAAGAAGGGCTCACACCCCCAAGGCTGCGCCACTTCATTCTCACAGCAATTCTGTCAGACTAGGCATAACCTCACGAGGAAACTGAAGCCTTGAAATGAGGAATCAATTTGTCCAAGATTACAAAGCCTGGAGGTGCCAGAGGCAGGATTCAAACCCAGCTCCCTAGGACTACAACCCACACTCCTTTCCCACCCCAAACACGCCATGCCAGCCATCTATTAGGTGTCAACTGAATACATACACCAAGGGTTCCCAAACCACTTAGGGCCTCATATCCCTTGGGAAGCTGGAAAAGGCCAGGCCCTAAGCTGTCAGCCAGCTAATGAAGGGATGCCAGTGGAGCCAGTCTATGGGCCAGGGTTTAGGACTCAATGACAACAGGGATTTCTTTAAGTTTGTATGTCCTGTCCCCAACTATTCCACAAAAAGGGTTACTAAAGTTTAGAGAGAAGAGACTTATTTAGAGCATGCAGGTGGGAGGGGCAGAACCAGGCTGGGGTAAGTGTTCTCCAGGGGAGGCATCAGTCCAGGTCTGGCCATACCACACTATGCCTCACCCATGGCCTGAAGAAGGCCGTCAGGAGGTGCCACACTCTCCAGCCAGGCAAAGCAGTGCTCTCAGCAGGCCCGAGGCCTGAACTGGCTACAGCCCTAGAGAGGGAGGCCTGGCCAGGCTCTCCCCACCCCTCCTCCCTAGCTGGCTAGATGACGAGGCAGAACAGAATCGGCAGATGCCCCCAGAGGCTAGGAGGAAGGCCCAGCCCTGAGACTAGATAAGGGGCAGGAGATAAAAAAAAAAAAAAGGCTCTGGGCACTAAGGACCCAGCCTGCCATGCCTATTTCCAGGCAGCATCTCCCAGGGAGCAACACACACTGGGCAGGCAGGGGGGTACCAGATGCTGTGCCATTTGGGGGCTTGTCTGGGCTTCCTACACACTGTATTGGAGGCATCCTGTGTCTAGGCCTGGGTCAACCACAGTCTCACCGTATGACTTGGGGGCTAATCCCTGGTCTGAACCTCAGTTTCACACCTGTAAAATGGAGCAGAAAAGTGAAACAGATGACTCTTTCAGCCTGGAAGCCCAGCAAAGAGTGGAAAATGACCATGTCATGACCTCCCTGCTCTAGAGGTCCAAAAAGAAGGGTCTTGTTCACTGCTGGTCCCCAGCACCCAAGACAGGACAGGGCACATAATAGAAGGAGTGTTCTGTGATTGTGTTACTGAAGTGGACAATGACAGGTGAGGGCCAGATTGACCACAAGGCAGTGAGGACCAAGTCTGGTCCTCTGTGTCCCCCACGACCCTCAGAGGCCAGGTGCCTAGTATCACTCGGGATGGGAGTCATGAGAAGCTCAGTACACACTCACCAGACTTGATCCCTCTGCCGGCCTTGCACTTACAGTCCTGCCAGCCCCACATGCTCTCTTCCTTCAAAGCTCAGCTCCCGCTTATTTCTGTGCCCATTTGGCCCTCTACACCGTGGGCCTTCTGAGGGCAAAATTCATGACCCATTCACCTCTGTACCCAGTGTCCTGAGGCACGAGACAAGTGGCAATCATGTTGGTAGCATATGTGACCAGCCGTTTCCCCAAACCGAGTGAGCTGTGCTACTGCGGTGGCTCCGTTCATTCATTCTTCAAACCTTTATCCTGCACCAACTTTGTGCGGGTCCAGGCTGGGCGCCAGGGTCTGGGCCTGAGGCACGTGGGGTAGGCTACCCTTTCTTGGGGCATCTGCTCACCTATCACCTGGGGGAGGCCTCAGAGAGGCTCTCCAAGGACCCAGGTCCCACCCTTCCCTCTTCCTTCCTCTCTCTTTCCCTCACCCCCCCACCCCCCCGCCGCGAGGGCGGTGGCCTGACCCCCGCCCCTTCCTGGGCCCCGGCACCCGGGGCAGGTGCAGAGGACTACCGGCCGGAAGGGCTCGCGTATGCGCGGGGTGCGGGGCGCGGAGCGCGCTGCCCTAGGGGATCTGGCGGCTGGGGCGCCAGCCGAGCTCAGAGGCCGCGCGCCCGCGTACCCCGCACCCGGCCGCCCTCTCGGCCGCCTCACCTTCCCGGGCCTTGAGTAGCACCGTGTTCGCTACGATGTTCTCGAGCTCCATGGGCTGCGGCGCCGCCGGGCCCGCCGGGCCGAGCCGCCGGCCGGGATCGCTCGCGGGAGCCGGGGCCGGATGGCGATCGGCGCGGCTCGGCTCGCAGTGACCGCGCCGCGGCCTCCCGGGCCTCCCCGGCCGCCGCCGCCCGCCGCGAACACTCCGCCCCCTCCCGGGGGCCACCCGGGCGCCGGCCCGCCCCGCCCCGCCTTCTGTTTACTTTACGAGGCCAATAACCGGGCGGGCGCTCCCCGCGCCGTCTTCCCATTAGACAGCCTCTTCGTCATCCCCCGCCTTCCGCGCCAGGGATTCGCTCAAAGGAGCAGGGAGGCGGGACTTTATACGTAACCTCTTCCTGGTTGGTCCAAGGTTGGGTTCAGCCTCTAGGTTCGAATTTCTGGACCTTCGTAGGGTAGCGAACTGCCAATTAGGGCCGAGCCCTCCGCGGGGACAACAGAGGTGGGTCCTCTTGGTCACGCCCTGAAATCTTGGAGTTTTATTGGATAAAATAAACGTCAATCATCCTCATCACTGAACCCTGATTGGACCACCAAATAGGGGTGTGGCCCGGGTCCCTCTAACTAGTCTTGACTTTTCTAGGGTTTGTAGGGGATGCATTTGTTATCTTGGGCCTCTTGCGGGCTGACTGTAAGCTGTTTTGGGCCATGTGTCCAGCCATATTTCTTTGGGTTGGCCCATTCTGGAGAGCGCACATCGGAAACGGGGAGAAGTCCAAAAAAGACTGGCGTCCTCCCTAGCGGCTCCCCAGCCTCCGGCCCCCGCCCCGCCCCCGCAGCCGGATGTTGTGATTTCTCTCCACCCACACGGCCTCGCCCGCCCTCGGCCTCTGCTGCCTTATAAGGCAGCGCTACCACCCCGAGACTTTTGGATGAACTCACACCCATTATACAGGTGGGGAACAGGAGTGCCAGAAGTCCAATGGCTGACTCTACGTCAAAGGCCAGGAAGAAAACGAGGCTGATATCCCACTCCTGCTTTACACACCAGAAAAGGGAGGCTTGTCCAAACTGAGAAAGTAGTGAGAGTAAGGCAGAGCCGAATTCAGCAAGGCTTCTCTGATCCCTATCCATTCATTCATCCAAAAATACAGAGCACCCGTTTTGTGCTAGGCATTGAGCCAGGTGCTGGGAAATACAGTGGTATTAGCAAGATAGCCAAGCTCTCTGCTTACGTGCTAGAAGGGGGGTAAAGGTTAATCCTATAAGTAATCAAATAAATAGGATGGTCTCAGAGAGTAATTGACTGTTGAGACGCGGGCACCTGGGTGGCTCAGCCAGTTAAGCGTCCAACTCTTGGTTTCAGTTTAGCTCATGATCTCACGGTTCATGGGTTTGAGCCCCACATCAGGCTTCATGCTGACAGTGCAGAGCCTGTGTGGGAGTCTGCCCTTCCCCTACTTGCTCTTTCTCTCAAAAATAAATAAAACTTAAAAAAAAAAAGACATTAAGACAAAATACGAAAGAGTGAGGGGGAATGGTCTCAGGGTGTGACATTTGAGGAGATCCAATAGCCATATGTGACTCGTGGCTACTATATTGGACAGCACAGAGAATATTTCCATCATCACAGAAAGTTCTGCCAGATAGCACTTGTCTGGAGGAAGGAGTGGCTTCCATTTGCACAAAGATTCCATGCTGACAACCTGAATTGGAGAAAAATGGTGCCACCAACTGAGAAGGAATGAAAGATGGTAGTCCAGGTACTTTCTGAACCCCTAAACTTGTCTTTGAATAGGCAGTTCTGTCACCTCTTGAAATTTATGCCCCAAGTCTCTGCTAGAGAGAAGTGGGGTTTTGTGTGTGTGTATCCAGATATTTGTGAGCAGGAACTTTATGGCTTCCTATTTCTCATCCCATAGACCCACACCCCAGCAGTAGAAAGATAGAAGCCAGGGAAAGAAGATGGTGCCTTTTTTCCCTAGTCCAAAATTGATGGAAGACACCCAGGTGTGCAGGGAGAACTGGGGCAGTTGTGTAGAAATTGCTGAGAAGGGGGAGTGTGTCCATATGGGAAAGTTTCTTTACAAACTTCTGTAGATTGAGCCCTTACCGTATGCCAGGCTCTACCCTTTCAAATGTATTCCCATTCAGCTATCTCAACAAGCTGGCCAGACAGTATGAGTGCCTCTACCTCCCTAAAGAGGTGTGGCAATTAAGGTTCATAGGGGCTGAGCCCCTGACCAAAGGTCACACTGAGGAAGTCAGTGGCCTCGATGAAATTGAAAGTTTCCTGATTCAGGTTCACTGCTGTTTTGTTTTTCCAGTCCCTATTTCTAAGGTCATTATTTCCCTACTTTAAGCTACTGACTTACAGAGTGATCATGGGAAGTATTGTTTTGTTTTGTTTTGTTTTAGAAACTTCCTGGTAACAACATATGAATTCTTGCATCAGTTAGGACTTCTGGTTGCAACTCAAAGTGGCTTAGGCAAAATAAGGAAATTTATTGGTTCAAGTAACTTAAGAGAAGAGGTGGTAGTTCTGACTTTGTCTTTGGATCCCAGGTCTGTAATGGTGTCACTCAAAATTTGTCCTTCCCATATTCTGACTCTGTTTTTAATCTGTTTTGTCTTTATTCTCAGGCAGGTTTTCTTTCTGAGGTGTTAAAGATGGCTGCCAGCAGCTCCATGCTCACTTCTTACCAATGAGGCAACTTCTATGGAAAGAGAAAGCCTCTGTCTTAAAGATTCCAGCAAAAATCCTGGGGCTGCCTCTTACCAACTTGATTGGGGTCAGCTGTTCCTTTTGAACAAATCACTGAGGACAGAGAGAGGCCGTGTTCTGATTGGCCAGACATGGGTCACATGCCCACTCCCACCTCAGCTGAGGGATGGGGTAAGTTATTAGGAATCAATCCATCTATATTAATTATCAAATGCTGGTAACAAATCACCCTAAAACTTATGGCTTAAAACAACAATTAGGGCACCTGAGTTGCTCCATCCACTAAGTGTCTGACTCTCAGTTTTGGCTCAGATAATGATCTCACGGTTTGTGGGTTTGAGTCCTGCTTCAGTCTCCATGCTGGTAACATGGATCCTGCTTGGGATTCTCTCTCTGTCTCTGTCTCTCTCTCTCTCTTTTTCTCTCTCTCTCTCTTCCCCTCCCCTGCTGGGTCTCTCTGTATCTCTCAAAATAAATTAAAAAAAAAAAAAAACTTGGGGCACCTGGGTGGCTCAGTCGGTAGGCGTCTGACTTCAGCTCAGGTCATGATCTCACTGTTGGTGAGTTCAAGCCCCACATCAGGCTCTGTGCTGACAGCTCAGAGCCTGGAGCTTGCCTCGGATTCTGTGTCTCCCTCTCTTTCTGTCCCTCCCCACCTCTCTCTCTCTCTCTCTTCTCTCTCAGTAATAAATAAACATTAAAAAAAAAACTTAAACAACTATTGGGGCACCTGGGTGGCTCAGTCAGTTAAGTGTCCAACTCTTGATTTTGGCTCAGGTCATGATCTCACATTTAGTGAGATTGAGCCCCCTGTCGGGCTTTGCACTAACAGCATGGAGCCTGCTTGGGATTCTCTCTCTCCTTCTCTCCCTCTGCTCCTCCCCTGCTAGTGCTCTCTGTCTCTCAAAAATAAATAAATAAACTTAAAAAAAAAACCAATCAATTATCATTTCTCACTGTCCCCAAGGTTCGAGAATCAATTATACCTTAAAAAAAAAAAAAAATTCAGGAGCAATGTGGCTGTGTAGTTTTAGCTTGAGACCTCCCATGAGGTTGCATGCCAGATGTTGTTTGGGGCTGCAGTATCCACTTCCAAAGTGGCCCATTCAAAAAAAAACTTTTTTATGTTTATTCATTTGAGAGACAGAGAGACAGACAGAGCATGCATGGGGGAGGGGCAGAGAGAGAGAGGGAGACACAGAAAGCGAAGCAGTCTCCAGGCTCCTAGCTGTCAGCACAGAGCCCAAGGTGGGGCTCTAACTCACAATCCCTGAGATCATGACCTGAGCCAAAGTTGGACACTTAACTGACTGAGCCACCCAGGCTAAAGTGGCTCATTCAAACTGGTGTTGGTTGTTGGCAGGAGACTACTTTCTCCCCACATGGGCCTCTCTGTAGGGTTGCTTGAGTGTCCTCACAACATGGCAAGCTGGCTTCCCCCAGAGTGAGCAACTGCAATCCTTTTTATGACCTGGGCTGAGCAAAACCATCACTTCTGCCACATTCTATTGGACACAAAGAACAGCTCTGACTCTAACTCATGTGGGAAGAAACTATACTAAGGCATGAAATCCAGGAGATGAGCATCAATAGGGAACATCTTGGAGGCTGACTCCCACAGCATCCCTCCATCCTTCCTTCCCTGTTTGTTCTACTTTTCCTATGTGTAGGTTTCCTTCTCAGGCAGTGTCTCCCCAAGCAGTACAAAATCAACATCTCCCGGCTTGCATTCCTGGTGACATGAGTGGGAAGGAAGTATCTTTTTTCCCAAAGTTCTGGCAAAAGTCCCAAGGCTGACTCTGGCCAAATTTGTGTATATGCTTATCCCAGAACCAATGGCTATGGTCTAGAGATACCATGCTCTGATTGGCTAGACCTAGGCCACACCCCCATGCTTAGACCTGAAGGTAGAACTGGAAGCACTAGAGACTCACCCAGAGGATGAAGGAGGAGTGGTTCCCAAAGGAAAAAGCAGGGTGTCACTACTGAATCAAGCTGAATGGTTTGGGGGCAGGAGAAATAATAATGCCATCCCATCTCCCACACTTTTGCTCCAACTGCACATTTTAGCACCTCTTGGTTTAGCATTTTTCTCATAGGATCATCTACTTTCTTGGCCCACTTTCTGTAGTAGGTAGAATTCTAAGATGGCCTCCAGGACCCATGGTGTATGCATACCTTCTCCTAGTTATTCAATCCACCACTAATCTAGATGTTCTATAGAAGAATTCTGCAAATGTAGGTAAGGTACCAAGTAAATAGACCTTAAAATGAGATTATCATTGGCGGGCCTGACCTAATCAGGTAAGTCCTTAAATGGAATGGGATTCTTCCTGGCAAAAGAGATTCAAAGTGTGAGAGAGAGT